GTCACATGATAAATCATTATAAAAATCATTCACAAGTTAAAAATAATCCCTTTGTCGTATCTCCTCAATTTCAGGACACTTCCCTGATCGGAATCTTCGGCGTCGATATATCCAATGACCTGCAGTGTCGTGGTCACTTGGAAGAAAGCTAAATTGGCTTCTAAAAATTAATATTTACCGCGGGGAGTGCTCTGATGAATTGTTCGGATTATTTCCAGTTTACCAAGGAAATTTATTTTTAAATTTACCAACACGCATCGCGACATAACTTACGTTATCATCCATGTCATTTGAATGCTTGGCAGTCCACTACCGTGTGATATATTAGGAGTTTTCTTCCTCCACCTTTTGGAATCCATCGCCCATTTTTACGAAACGAGCTTGCTCCTTTTTAAAAGGCCGGCAAGGCATCTGCAATTCTCCTGGTGTTGTAGAATTGTTTTAAAATATTTAAAAAGGCTATCTTGTTGACTGGTTGTACTGGTTGTACTCGCTGACATAGACGTTTCTCGTTAAAATCATCAGCCGTGTGCCCCGACAAAGGCCCACACGACTTCTTTATTGATGTGAGTACAGTATCATTTAGTGTTTCACTTCCTTAAATATTGGAGATGATTAAATCGGTATCCTGTATAATACTTTTTAATCAATAACACCAAACAATAAACGTTGTTAGTCACTAACTCATATAGTAAATGAATAATAACGTTACTGGATAACAGAGGGCGCTTATTACAATAATGACAAATGTTCTAGAACAATCTACCAGAAGCAATTAAATTTAAAAAATGTTAGGTAAATAGACGTTATACTTGCGATAATAAACCGAAATCACTTTCAGTTTTTGCTTCACATCGGGAATTACATCATACCTTAATGCACAATCGAGCATATTTTCTTTGAAATATATTTTTAAAATTTAGGAAACGAATACGTCTTGAACTTTTGACAATATCATTAAGACTAAATAACATAAATCCGAAATTTATCCTATGGGGCAAAAATAACAGATGGTCATTTTATTGCTGATGTCCGGTCTATTACTACTATTACTTAAATGTCTTTGTATTTACCATAATATCAATGGCGTCGATAAAACAGCGCCCTTTTGACCCTTTATTATTTGATTGACTTATGAACAGCTATCGTATCACAGAGACTATATGCTAAATATCTATGCAAGCAAGGCAGGTTCTGGACTTTTATAACAAAGTGATCGCATTAATCGGAATTTACCCACACGTACTATAATCACCGATTCGTTTACCAAGCATTGCAATATTAGCAAATCCTCTTTGAAATTATCGTGGTAGGGACACGCTGTAACGGTTTAGGACAGATGTGAACTTTTACGTGCTGATGAACAAACAACCATGATAAAAAAACTCATTTTAATATTTAGTTTTGTAGCGAAGACTTATAGTAAATACATTGACGATTATCCCCTCAACAGTATCTTTCTAAATGGCGTCATTTCTTATATGTTGCAACATGTTTACATAACGCTATTATAATTAAAATAATATTATTATTTCAGACACAATGTCCTAATATTTCCTGGTTTAGGACCAACAGCTGGCAAGTCCCTGCGCGTCGGAATAATGGGGGTCAATTCTACTATCGAGGTAGTAGATGATGTAATGAATGCCTTAACAGACGCGTTGCGAGCACTTACTAAATCTTCGTTATAATATTTCTATCAAGATAAAAATTCCAACGCCAAAAATTTTCTTGAAGACATTTAGTGTATAAAAAATTTAATAAGCAATTATAATTAAACGTAGTCGGGCCATGTTGCAGCTACATTATGATCGCAGCACGAGTGAATGGGTTGGCATGACCGGGTTAGGATCACGCTCTCACAGTTGTCTTCACATGTTTCCCATGGTGAGGGATACGGGAGGACTGGAGACCCTTATTCTATCTGAGTTCTTAGAGGCAACAACGCATCTGCAATTTGATTTTTAATAAAGGATGGATGTAGAGCATGTGTCTATTGGCCACAGCAACCACTTATCATCAAGTAGACTGTGTGCTCGTTTGTGTTTGCTCATTTTTAATAAAAAAATATTAGCACAAAATATTGTTGTGTAAAATAAATAAGCTTATATTGAATACTTGTTTTATTTTTACACTTCGCATCGCATCTGCTGCCTTTTTTTCACTTATCATCACGTGTATTGCAAGCTTATAATAACTGCGATGGATTTCACAAAGGTTAATTTTGTTTTATAATTCAAAATCTCACAAATAACTTTATATTTTTCATAAAGTAACAACTGAAAAGCACAGGATACATGCAACCAACTTTAAACAAAAAAAGGCATCTGGAAACTAAATGAAATGCCTCGAAGCCAGTAATATACTTCTCCTTGTTTTTATACATAGAGTACATCAGTGGATGCCATGTTTGATGACAGAAATAGGAAAAGGAAAATTTAAAAATAAAACACATTTTAATTCACAGGTAATTTTATTCATTCTAAATCTGTCGCAGGTTAACAATCTATAAAGAGGTTGTACCTCTGTCGACTTAATTTTCAATTTAAGGTGAATGCAACAAAACTTTTAAAAAGGATGTTTAGAATATTTAATTTTTATATTACAAATTCAACATTCGGTTACGTGTTTCCGTTTATACCGAATAAAATTGGCATTACATTGGATACAATAATTATTAAAAAGAAAAACAACGCAATACAAGCAAGTTCATAGTATCCTTTATGGCTATTAGTTATGTTATTCGCAAGCCATAGGTGATTAATTTCTATGGTTAGATTAAAAAAGTATTAAAAACAAGATAACTCTCGTGTTTAATAATTAATTGACATCCTTATTAATTCAAAAATAGAACAAATGATAGCCAATACAACGTGAGTATAACACTTATATATATTTATAATTTTGATGGACTAGAAACCCACAAAAAACGCGAAATTTTATTTTTATAAAACATTGAAAAAATCTTTTTGGTAATGTCTCACGATAAACCCCCAACATCTAAAAAAATAATGCCGTACAAACGAAATACTTTAAGCCGTAACTTACAATAATATAACTATAGAATCTAACAATATTCAAGGCAGGCATAATATATCTCTAGCTACATGGCATTCATTTCCATCACATCGAAACATTTGGACTAGCTTTCTTAATTACAAAACTATATTTATCTAGTAATTAAACAAAACTAGTCACGAAATTCACTTATAGCAAACCTTAACTACACTTTTAATATCAGCGCCCACATCAGTAATATAGCATTTAATGTAAATACGTACAATATGTATCAGTAATATATGTATATAGTGATAATACAATGTTGCTATTTACAAATTCTATTAGAGATTAATTATGTAAAAACTTACGCTATGCCTATTTATTTCCTAGAACAGGACTTATAAATGTAAATTACACCAAGTTTACTAAATAGTGTAACATGTACATTCACATGAAGTTAAAATTGAGATATAAAAACTACAAGCAAATGCACAAAATGAAGACTTATAAAAATTAAAAATTTTGTGATGTTTTCGTCTAACAGGCCTGCATTCCCAATGATAATATATAATATACAATAGAATCATCAATAAATATTCACATAATAAGAATAGATTATATGTAATAATTTATTTATTATTTACATTAAGAAAATATGGCACATCTTTAACACCTACCACAATCACACCTCTTGACTCACTAGTCGCTACCGAAGCGATCGAGCCGCACGACTAAAAACACTACACGGTCGGTCCATCGTCAGCTTCGTGTAATGTACCTAAAAATTTTGGGACGTTTCATAATACCAATTTAAATACCGGTGGGAAGCGAAATATTTAACGTCATTCAAACATAAGAAGCCGCACCAATCGACCTCGGGTCGTCGCGCAGCCGACCGATAAACATTTGAATCGCAAGATACATAAAAATATATCAGTCTATAGAACGAAGCGTTCACTCACTTAGCCTAGGACACAGAGAAACTAAAAGCAGTAAGTTAACCTTGACTCGTGTCATCACATCACATACACACTTGTTGCCTGTTAAAATAAATTATTATATTTTGACCTTATTAAATTACTTATTTATTTACAAGTACTTATTGGTAAATATTTACCAAGTTGTGGAACCAAGTCCACCAAGATTTTAAATTGGCAAAACAAGCAAGCACATCGTAACAAATGCAAGTATTACAAGAAGACAACAACCTTGTATATGTTAGATTTTCCACATTTCAGGTATAGATGATGATGTTTGTTAAAGACTGACTGTGTATTTTACAAGTGTTTTTTTCTCAGCTCGTAGAGGTAAATATTTTATTATATATTTTGATAGCATAAATTCGACTGAATTTATTAAAATTTTAACATTATTTATATGTTAACACCTAAAGTTTAAAGATGATCTATAATAATGTAATAAATTTTCGATATAATTATTCGACATATTTCAAGTTAAATTTTACAAAAACAGATCAAAAGTCGTTCTACTGCTATTAATTACTCTGTGGCATGGTGTTGACAAGGTGAACATACAGCACACGCGTCCAAGTCGACCAAGCAAATTAAAGACTGAACTTATCGATGCTCTGTATGGTAGTGTTTGCATGAGTAGAGAGCGCTTTTCGGGGCGTATGACAAAGTCAAGTCCAACGACCACTATTTCAAACAATTATACAAATGTGTTTGTCATACACGCCCTATCAAACTCAGGTATAATAGTTGGCACAAACAATTTCGACACTTGTGGTGGACGCATTTTTCTAAAATATTCTAACATTATACTTCATGGTTGCACCAATAGCTGAGTAACGAACGAATAACCAACTAATCGGGAAGTGGAAATGGTACCGTACACCACCATACAGGCATAAGAATCTACTGCGAATTTGAATATCAAGTCTCGAACTACGTGTCGATTGTTATGTCCACTTCAGACGTGCGAGGAGCATTTTGCCTGTTCGTCTAGTTGGCTTGGTCGTCTAGTAGCGAGGTTTACGCTCAGCTGGGCGTGTGGCGCGGCGCGCGCTGGCGGCGGTGGCGCGTGCACGCGCAGCACGAGTCGCCGCGCCGCCGCCGCGCGCACGCAGCGCGGCCACAGCGTTTCCGCACGCACGTCACCTCGCCGTCCTGAACAGTAAAACAAGATTCAGTCAATCTGGGTGCACGGCAGTGCCCCCGCCAAGTCGAGCAAAAAAGCGGCACGGCCGTACCATACTTTTCTCGAAGCAATTCAGGCCATTTTCGACCAAGTCTATCTATTTATTTGAAACATAAAAGATTTTTACATTGATATGGTCACTATAAAATCTTGTTAGGTTAGCTAATTACGTAATAATTTAGAACAGAAGGACCCTTAAGTAGGGACTGAATAAATTAACCGACTTGGTATTACATGGATTTTACAACTTTTTACGGTAAAAGAACTGAGTTGCGAGACTTGGTTTTTTTTACAAGTTATGTTTATGATGGCATGATATTTATATATCAAAGAAGGTAGATAGGTTACTAGCACGCCAAAACTAAAGCGTCGGAAAGTGTTCAATTAGCCACTCCGCCCCTTGGCTAATAAACATGAAGCCACGATTACGTAAGCTTAAAGAAAAGGACAACAATAGACGTTCCAGAACTAGTGCGATAAGAACACGAAGAGCGAGAGAGAATGTAGTGAAATTTAAGTAAAAATTAAAATGTGTATGTGTGCTGCCGATGCTGATGGGACAGCTGGGTTCGGAACTATCTTGATTATGATGATAAAAATTATAACAATATTTTAAGTTCAGCTTACATATTTGTTACAAAGATATACAATACATCATGTGCACCATTAGTGACTGGAGATCTGTAGAATTCTAGGTCTCTTATCTAGGTTACTCAGTAACCTGTATTTAGCAGTTAAAGGTTTTATATCACTCCATACGTTTTTCGGAGCCTTTCTATTATAATAACGGCATTTCTATTATATCAACTAAAATATAGTTGTATGCGTAATATGAAACGACTATAGGAGATTCCAAAATGTAAAATGTCTGTAAATGCAATATCCCAAAACTTTTGATATAAAGTGATATAGCTATCAGGTATATGTCAGATGAAACGAAATTGGAAAAGTGTCAAATCTAAACGTCAACTTCGTCTGAACGTGATGCATCCTGTTGTTTAATAAAATAGGCTCTGCTGGCTAAAAATCCATTTAAAAACGCTAAAATCAAATTTTACAAACTTTTTGATAGGAGCAACATTACTTATACGGGTAACTACTCCTCGTTCACATGCCTGCACAGTGTCATGACTATGTTGAGCTGCCTACCAAACTAGGAGATTGTGCCTACCGTCATACCACAGATACCTGAGTACGTCAGTTGGCTAGCTGGAAGGCTAAAAGAGTACCACGTTACGTTTGTCAAAACACAGTTTTTAACTCTACAACACATTTACTTATCTCGGATCTCATACCTTGCAGCGACAAGTCACACATCTTTGCTCGCCGTGAGAATGTATAGAGGGGTGCACTTCCTTGCCGTTTGGTAGTGGCCCATCAGGGAATTTGCACCCGCCCTCTGCGAGGATCTCTTCTGGCGTTCGCGGCGCTCCCTGATCCTTCGGTGTCTCTTCCTCAACCTTCTTTGCTTTTTCCTGTTAATAATAAGTTTATATTTTAACCACAGAATAGACGTGGTGCAGCCATTATGCCATATGTGCAAAATAACTGATACTGGTACATTCATATACATATTCATTTGCGTTACAATCAAGCGTGACGTTTATTAATCTTTCCTGTAAGGAGAGGAGAACCCCGTGTCCAGCAAAGGACTGTATAATAGACTATATAAAGATTTTTTTTTTGTTTCTATTTATATTCATCAATCAATTTATATAACATAATACAGGGTTATTTGTAATACCTAGTCAAATTCGCAGAGAAGGTTAAGAATAAGTACTATAGACAAATATTGAAGAACAATTAATTTAAAATATCTCAAACATTCTGGCCTTTTTATCTTTTAAATTCAAAATGTGGTAATGCGTTATTTTAACTGATTTTACTGCGCACGCACATATTTGTAAGGGTCGATCGGTAGGCAAAATGTTGTTGCCCGTAACAACATATTCAATTTGGGATAATTGTAAATAAAATTAGAAGCTTAATTACTCGTATTTTCAGAATTTGCAATAACGTTACGGTAACAAATAATCATTATTTATATATTTGAACTTAAGTTTAAAATTTGGCTACACTTTGAAAAATAACTCTGGATATTAATTGTTGTATTAATTTTTATGATTTCTCATATTGAAGATGTTAATTATTTATGTAGTACAAATAAAGTACCTCCGGACAGACTCGGCAACAAGCTTTCTTGTCAGGCCTGTAAGCATCCTTCTCGGCGCAGCGTAGAGGTGGGCAGCGTACTCTTGGACAGCGGACTTGCCGAGTGGCGAACTCGCAAGTGCATACCGCGCAAAGATCGTACCCGTCAGGCACTAAATAGGGGTGCCAAGACGAGCCAGGAGCATGGTACTGTCCAGCTAAGTGACAACCATGCGATTCATTCCACACTGCTGTTGTCGAGTCTGAAAATAGTGAAAGGTTGTTGTGGCATTACTACTGCCTTACAATTTGCCAACTAAAGCAGGCAAAAGTCTTGGACCACATAGTCACAAAATTCTTTAAAATATGGTAATTAGAACAGTATCCGCCGCCAAAACGGATAATAACTTGAGATTTATAACACCATCGAAGCACTTGTAAGTTGTAATATACCATCGAAGCTTGTGTTCACGTGTGCAGACAATTCACAAAATATAACCACTTTTACGAATCAAAATTCACTTTAAACCAACCTACACTCGTGAATTTGCTGATTATTTGCACTGAATCGTTTTTTAACAGTAAATTAAGTGTAGATGGATTCAATAAGTGTCTCTAATGGTTTTAGAAATTTGATGTTTACTTCACCAAATTTTTTCTTTTTAAGATAACATGTTTTCACTAAAATTAATATCTTTCCATTGTCGCTTAAAAACACTACAAAGTTAAAAATTAAATCTGCTTCTTTATTGTTTATTAGTTTTAATATCAGGTGTTTCCTTATCTAGCCCTGATAACCCGCCTGCATTCGATCTGGTATGCTTTGAATGATGTTTCTGACATCAACTTGCGGTATGCTGTCCCAAGCGGCCACCGCTGCATTTCGGAGCTCATTTAGAGTTCGTGGTGATTTGGAGCTGGACTTTATCTTTCTTTTGAGCATGCCCCACATATGCTCAATTGGATTTAAGTCCGGGCTACGAGCTGGTCTCTGTAATTTTTGTGGTCCAACCTCTTCCAGATATTCCTCTACACAATATGTGAGCGTGCATTATCGTGCATGAGGAGGAGTCGTGTCCAATGAACACCGAATAAGGCAGTACGTGCTCCTAAAGAACTTCCTTGATGTATCGAGTAGCTGTAAGCCGATTATCAACTCTGTACGTGCGTCGAAACTTACACCTCCCTATACCATTATTGAGCTTCCATGGAAACTCACAGTTTGCGTGATGGTAATGGGTAGAAACCTCTCTCCTCTTTTTCTTCACACTCGTTCTCGACCGTCTGGAGCACGTAAAGCTATTCGACACTCAACTGTGAACAACAATCTAGCCTATTGCTCGTGGGTCCAATTAACATGTTCTCTTGCGAACTGAAGTCGGGCTACTCGGTGCTGTCTGAGGAGTTCTGAACCTTTTGCTGGTCTACGAGCTTTTAATTCAGTTCCTCCATTCGTCCTCTCACCGTACGCTCACTAACATTAACGCCTCTTGCGATTTGGAGCCGCTGGGGTATCTCAACAGCGGTCAGGTAGCGGTTTCTCAAAATCTTCAGAACAATAAAACGATCGTCCCGGGCCGATGTGCACCTTACACACTGTCTGGCCTGTGGGTGTAGCGGCCTGTCTCTTGGTATCGTTTCAGTGCATACTGCATTGACGACCGTGGTACGTTAAGCACAATATCAACTTCACGCTGTGTCAGCCGTTGGTCAATTAATGCTACTGCTTGTGCAACTTATGCAGGTGTTAATGGCATTCATTATTGGTTATTGGTTTTAAAGCAACTTTAGTTATTGAATTAAGACACAAGATCACAATAATTGAATAACCTTACAGTAAACTTTTCACAACCCACAAATTTAAAATATGAACTTAATCGCTCAAATGACCCCATTCACCTAAAAATTAAAAAATTCGTCATAGTGCACTTAAACATAATGAATTACCCTCTTGAACTTGAGGGTAAACATTTTTTGAATACCTGCATAACAAGCGTTCATCAGAAATCTTATCGCGAGATAAGCGCTTGGCCAAGATTCCCTGCCGCTGAGTGTACATAATATCAAAGATTTAAAATAATATGCGACCATCCGCCGTTGAGGAAATTGCCACCAAAACTAGATAACCAAAAAAATATTGCAACTTTTTTTTAAAAATAGAATTAGAATAACAAACGAGCACACATTCTACCTATTGTATATTGTGATAATATGTTAGTTCAACTCACTTGTGCAAATGGGGCAACACTGTCCCGGCGGCTGTATGGTCGGCACAGCGCAGTTCACCGGTGGACAACGCACGGGATCACATCTCAAAACTCCGTGCACGCAGCCGCACATATGGCACGACTGAAAAATATAACAAAGAAATTTGATGAGTTTATAAGAATAATTCAATAATCAAGGGGAGGCAAGTTCGTAGTTACTAATGATTATAACTTCCTAACAAAACACCATTCAAGACTACGAGTATACACCCCCAGGGCCATTGTGCTCGCCTCCTAAAATGCCCCTAGATTGGTTGCGATCATTCGCAGCATTAAACTGCTAGTTTACGCTGATATTCTATAGGAACGTGGTTTCTCCCCAGTCGAGTCGACCGATTAGTGCTGCAACCATAATATAGCTACAGCGTGGCTCTACCACTTCAACTAGTATTCCTGGCAACACTGCATATACGAGTACCATCTGTTTCTGATTCATTATTATTTTAGTATATAATTTATTTTATTTTGTCACGATTCTTTTAATACCATGCTCATTCATATAATTTGATTTTATGAAATTATTATGTATTATTATTATATTATATATTAGCCTATTATAGCTGCAGCACGAATGGATCAGCTCGACCGGGGAGTGGCCATAGACGCATAGAATAATAGCGTGACATGACAGCATGTTACTGCTTAATTTCTTTTGATGAGTGACAAGAACAGGAGATAATTTTACTTGTAACGAAATATTCCAACTTAAGACGACACATCGAAAAAGTGGCTCCAGGCTATCGCTGTACTGATCCGAGTGAATACATAATTTCTATAAAAACTTGAAAAAACGCCGTCATAAGGTCTAAAATTGCGTAGCACCCGCGACGATTAAAAGCGCTTAGAAATTGTCAAAATCTTAAAATATTTTTTTTAAATTATTGATTTAAGTAATCAAAATAATGAGCAAGTAAATTATGAATATTGATATTATGAATATATTTGAGTGATTCCCAAGCAATTAAGTAATTTCGTTGTAATTTCAACTAAGTATAGTGATTTTTAGAGGTGTTTTCGCAAATAATTATGATCGAGTCAAAATGATGGAATCGTGTTTTTGAACAATAAAATTCAAGATAAAGATCTGAATTTACCTATATCGAAATTCCACTTTCGTTAGTGGTGTTATAGTCCTATACTATTCGATGAAAGGAGGTGCATTTTTTCGCAGTGTCGCCTTAATATTTAGAAATGACAGTGCATCAGACACACGGGCAGAGGAAGGCCGAATAAAAGATGGATCGATTGTGTGAAGAGTGATATGAGAATGAAAGGAGTAAGTATGGAAATGACAGCTGATAGAGAGGAATGGAACAAGAAGATTTACTGCGCCGACCCCAGATAATGGGAAATGGTTTAGAGAATGATGAGTGCTTCTGCATGTTTTGTTCTTAATCGAGGATAATTGTAGGCGTACATACTATAGATCATCACGTCAGTCGTGACGTGACGTCAGTCATCTCAGTCCCCCCGTGACCATGGGTGCTGGAAAGCGCCCGAAACGTCGGGAATTAAAAATAAAAGTAAATAAAAAGTAAAAATAAACGCGATAAAATCCGTAAAAGTAGTTTTAAATCAAAATAAAAAGTTATATTTACAGCGAGCGTTAACCACTGAGCTACCACGGCTCAATCAAAATAAAACGGGACAAAATTCTAAAAATGTATCTCATTCAGGAATATAGAAGATCATTTCCGGGGATTACATATTTTGATTATTATATTACATAGTTTGATCATTTAATATACTTCTTTAAAGAAACTGCCTTTTTAAGTTCCATTGCTGGGAATGTGGCTCCTGCCATTCCTGGGAGGATTTTAGAACGGGAGACGAGTCACATTACACTAGAATTATTTTTATATCAACACTAAACTATTACCTCTGTGGACATCCACTGTGCACCGTCCTCGTAAAATCGTCCAGCGTAGTAACAAGATGCAATATTGGTCAGAGAATTGTCGGGGAGAGGTGCCTCAACATGCGACGTTGAATAGCCGGCTCCAAGTTCATTATCCGATCTCCATGGCACGGCAGGTAAACAAGATGGCGGCACGCTTATCTGCAATAGAAATTGTAATCTCGATTAGAAAACGCATCTCAAAATAAAACACGTTACAAAATTATACTTTGTTGCAAAAATTATACGCGTTAATGTTATAAACTCACCTTTTTACTTGCACCTTGCAGCGTGAAACGAAATGAAATAAAATAAATGTGTATAATATTTAAAATTTAACATAGGTATTATTATATGTGTATATTATTATTATGAGTGTATAAATTCGTTTCGAAATATTTTAAATTATAGATACTTCTGATATTTAAACAATACTAGGTTATTATACCATAGATCCGTCTGCAAAACGTGGTGATTAAGAAAATCTTTTACACTGTTGGAGAGGGCCATGTCTAGCCGTGATAGGTTGGAGTTCTCTAGGCAGATTATTAATCGCACTATCAGAGGTTTCGCAATACTTTTTATTTATTTTTTTTGATCCGAGTATTTTACATCTAGCTTAGCCTGTAGACTTGTGATAGGTAGTCATTCATTTATTGTAAATGATAATACCATCATCTATCGAAGGCAATGAAATTTCTCTGGTATCCTGTCGTATTTGCCACTTACGACACCCGCGAATGGAACGTTACGTTACGGAAAGTTGTGATCGAATTTCTTACCCCACAACCACGCGGCTATTGAATTGGTAATAAATTACTGATAGTAATAATATATTTTCATACTCATATTCAATAATAGATTAAGAACGGATGTTAAAAAAAAGCGGAAAAAAGACTTGATAGTACGTTAGCCGGCAGGTAATGATTAGTTCGTTTCATATCAATATCCCCAAACGTTTTTTACCTACATAATAATAAATATGAATTACCTGTGGTATTCGCGTGCGCAGAACCTCAGTGGTATTATCTGCGGCTCGAATGTTAAGGTACGCAGCTCCAGCGTGTAAAGCAGCTAATTCATTAGGCGTGGGTTCAAGCACACAGCCCTCCACACCTGTTAGAGGCCGGGCCTCCCCGCCACTGCCAGCGTGGCTCTCCAGCCAAGCCGACCACGCACCGGGTGACCCACTCACCACCACCTGTTGTAATATAATTAAACATTGAATATGATAATATAATAAAATTAAATTGTTAAAACATTTTTTTAATGAATGGTTGGTAATTTTAAATACATAATTTGGTATTTAAAAAAACTAATTTAAATATATCAGTAAATAATACTGATATATTTAAATTAAATTATTGTGTCCTACCCCCATGTCATCCTGGGGTTGTCATAGTAGGCGACAGGTGGAAACAAGTCAGGAGAAGGGCAGCACCTTTCTAATGACATGAATGGTTTTGTGATTATCTTTCTTGGTACAAAACCAACCTTTATTGCAAATTTAAGTCATTTTAGTTCATAAATATAGAGTTTGTTAATAATGGAAATATGTTCAAATACAGAGGATATGCCAAACGGAATGACAAAATAAATTTTAAATAATTTTGTATTTTTTCTAATATAACGACAGACAAATGTAGTAGTAGGCAACTCAAAAGATACCACCACGGCAAGAAAATCGTAGAGCTGTGGTGGTAATCTTTGAGTTGCCACCTCTCTACGATTTTCATCTTTTTCTTGGTCCTTTTTTACTCCACCGCTGGGTTATATAGGTCTTTGCAAAAATACGTTATATCCAGCAATAGTAAAATAACTTACTTGGTGGTTAAGTACTTAACTTAAATATCTTAATACGCATGTAACCAAAATTTAATTCCCGCGGTCAATTTTTAATAGCAATTTTAGTTGTTGTTTTACACTCCATGAAACCTGCACGTCTGAAAATTTAAAATATTTTCAGTACACGTAAAATCATACAACTACCACAGAATAAATAATAGTACTACGTGCAGAAGTTGCACTCCTTTGATGTCATCTGCTTGCCGACGTTTATTAGCCTACATAATTATTATTAATCAGATAAATCGCGCACGCAAGCTAAATAAAACTTTATCGCTGCGCGTTAGTGTCCATATTACTTTGCATCTTTTCCGATTCCTAAGTCACGGCGGACTTTCCGTGGTTATTAAGAATGTCAATAGAAAGTAAAAAAATACATTGCGAAATGTTAATTATGTTACTTAGGTGAAGTACCTATTCTGACTATGATTGACTGACCATATTTTCGCCCCTAATATGTGAGTTCTGCGATGCCTAATAAATTGGCCTTGCAAATTGCAAGGTCATTCGTCGGGAAGCGCAACGCTTGGTTCGGAAGAAATAGGTAGATAGTGTAAACAACAAATAAACCTGAAATACGATTCCTAACAGAAATGTGATCTATTCTACTTACTTAAAAATCTTCTTAGTATACAAAGTTTTAATTTCATTATTTTGTGTTGTTATAACTTATAATATTTTAATTACAAAATACAAGTATAGGTATGTACGTAAGTAAATACTTGGATAGTGAAGTAAATTTTAACTAATGTTTGTAATAAAGTACTTAGGTATTTCTTCTGTAGACCAAATTATTACTTAATTCTTTTTTGCTGTAACCTATCTAACAAAAAAATTAAATAAATTCACCTTTCATAATTTCCATCTGAAATTCTTTGGTAACTTAAAAAATTATATGAAACCTTTTGTTGGTCATTTCATTTAGTATCCATCCACGCAACAGTTATAGTAGAAACGACGTTTTGCTATTATAATTTATCAAATAGGTAATATACATAATATATAATGTTTAAAATACATTAAAACTTTTACAACTATTTTTACTTACAATTAAATATACTAAACACTAAACAAAAACTATTTCAACAAGTATTTACATAAAACTATTTACGTAAACAGCGTTAAGAAACTTTAATATTGAATCGCCTACAACGCGCTAGCCCCGACTGCGTATAACGCCCAGGGCCCCTCGCGATTTTAGGTAATTATTTCACGCAAGTAGCAAGAGTGACAGAGGCCTGTAACTACCAACACGCACACACTACGCTCAGTGGACGAAGTGCTTTGTAACACTGTCATAAATGAGAAGAGCCCTAAGTCCCGCAGTAGAACGTATCTACGAGTAATTAGGTTGTAACTTAATTTCTTAGTAAAATTTGTTCGTGAATACCTCATAATGCACTCCACAAAGGGTATCAACTGACACCCATGCAAGTCCAGCCATAGGTGTCACGGTGGCAGGAGTTCGGGCGTCCGTTCGTCGCAACAATGCAGGACCGGCGCCCGCCGCGTCCGGCAACGAACGCGAGAGCAATCTTCCACGGAGCATTGGCGGTCCTAGAGTTTTAAAATTAAAAAATAATTTAATTTAATTGTTTTGAAAAATTGTGACCATGTGCATTATAGAAAAAGTAACGTTGTAGAAAAAAATAATAACACTAGTGAAGTAGATTAGCGATCGCCTTTGAATTTTATAGCACTTGAGCAAATCGTGTTCAATTCCTGCTGGCACGAATGGAATAATTATTTTTAGTAGTCTGATTTATCACTACCAAGGACGATAGAAAACACCCTAAGGAACTTGTATATCTGTGATTTTTTTCAAAAACAAGTCAATTCCGCCATGATGAATGATCGCTACGATGAACGCTACGAAAGTAGCGTGACGGACTACCATTTAATAAAAGAGAAGACTTGCTCTCAGCTATAAGTAAATTTTAGCCATAACTTTTCTCCATTTTGTGTACGATAAAGCTGACCTGGGAGTATTGTTTTTATAAAATATATATTTAGAAATATAATGTTAGAGATTTATCTGTTGACAATCTAGTAATGAAGCGCGTAAACAACTAAGTAAAAGAACTTTGTGTTAACGGTGAATAAAAATAAATCAACTTGAAAAGAAATGCCTCTTTTATAAATTTATTAAAAAAACCGCATTGTTCTTATAATATCAGTTCGATCTTTGTGTTATACTTTCTTCTTGATCGGCTCATAACAGTCTACTGCTGGAAGGGGAGGGGTTTTTCCAGACTGTTTTTTTTGTTTAGAATGTTTTAATGTTTTTTCTTCCTTAGTTAGTTATTTTGATTTTAAATAAGTTCTTCTTTAGTTACTAAATAAAAGTTACAAAAAATAACTATAAAGATATATATATTTTTTCTTTTCCTACAGCCTAAGGTTTTTAATGTTTTAATGACTTTGGGTTCGCATTTTTTTTAATTTGTTATTTAACAAATCAATATACAGTAAACTCCTTGTACAATTTACTTAGGATATGTATTGAATGGTAATCGAGATTAGTTCTGCAGAGTTTGTTAATGAACAGTAAATTAGGTCACCGCAGTGTACCAGATTGAACTTTAAGAAATACCTCGCTTAATAATTCCGGCCTATCAATGGGTCCGTCAGTCCGATGGTGAATTTAACTTAAGGTTTTTAAAGCGATGATATAAGGCTTTTAGGGTTGTAACACAATTGGCTGGACCGGGTAAAAGCCACGCTCTTACAGAAAAGCAGCTTAGAATAACACCTAAATTCTACCTTACTTCCTATGGTGAGTATAGAGAACCGGGACGCTTTTTACTGGAAACAAAGCATTCTATCTTAGTCCTCAGGGGTGAAAACCCATCTGCATTTTGATTCATAACTGAGAATAGATGTAAATACCTATGGGCTATATTATCCATTTACTATCAGGTGAACTGTTGCTCGTTTGTCACCTATATTCTATAACATTAAAAGAGCTGTAAAGACCTTGATAATTATTTTATTTTATCCTGGTGATCCTGACCAAGATACTAGGATAAAGGTATTAAATTCAGTCATCGGTCCTTAATACGAGTGCAAATTCAATTCAGTCGGCCGTCTACAAGTTAGTGAAGCTTACATACACGCGAAGCTATAAAAGCGTGTTAAAAAAGATAATCTTTTATCGCTACTGAAATTAATTCGCTTGAATCATCTCCGAATCTATCTTTTTGTACATAGGTAGATAAGACTCCATGTGACCGTGATGATCTCATTTGATTCTAAAATATAGTTGAACAGGTTTTTTTTTACTATTAAGTATTTTAAATCGTTTACTTTTCACACTTCCACTTACACTTCTAAATACTAAGCTAAGATATTATCGAATTAACTTCGCTGATGGAATTAAAATTAACTAGACAATTTTCAGATGGATTGGCGATTGCCTCACCGGCAGGCCTTGAATGGTGTTTTTCACCTTCGATCAAGATTATTTTATTAGTACTTAGTAATAATTAAACAAGACTATTACGTAAATTATGATTCATTTAATTGCATAAAATAAAATTTTATATTAGCTAATATTCTGTTAAGTAAATATAATATACCCATATTATATTTACTTAACAGAATATTAGGAAATATAAAATTTACAAATTTACATCTACAATGGAAAATCAAAAGCCAATAAAAACTATCAGTAGTAAAAATTATCGTAAACACGGGGGTTTTCCGCAGCCTTGCCTCGGCAATATAAAATTATAAGCGCTATATAAATTATGCAATCGCAATATAAAATTATAAATAATTAAGTCAATGCAATTGTTTTACACAATTAAAAAAAACAGATAAAATAAAAGTTCCGTTGCCCAGGCACCCTCTTAATTCTGACACAATTTTGAAGCATAAAGATTCCACTGACCTGTCCAAATACTATTGACTGACTTTACGTGTCCAAAATATTAACGAACACAGTCCACTTGAAGGTGAGTGCATTCTGTGGGCTGTGACCCATTGCTTGTGTGTTGTGGATGTGAATTTACTCGTAGAATAAAAATGCAGATGACGTCACTAAGATGTCTTAGTCCTCATGGCTTCCTCATTTCTTTTTAAAGGGTTCTTCGGTTCTCTACATTCACTCACAATACAAAACATAGCAGCATTAATCTGCTGCTTTTACGCCGGTATTCTTTGAGAGCGTGGTCCTTTCCCGGCATTTATTATTTCATTTTCAATTACACATATTTACATACAGGAATTGATTACAATTAAAGAACGTAACAATAAGCCTAATAAAAATAACATGCAATAATAAAAATTAAAACTATCTGTAGCTTAATAATGTAGAATCTACAAAAGAAAAATTGAAAACTCATATTTATAATATTAGCTACCTGTCTGAACTAGGTTGAGTACCAGTGTTTCAGACCATCACTCACACTATGGGGTTAATAATGTAGGACACAAGATAATTTAAATGATTAAACTATATTATATAATAAGTAAAATAACTAAACAACAAATAATGTAGCCTACAATTAACACAAAACTATTCTAAATTTCTAACAACTTCTCTGTGTTTTTGTACATTATATTACATTTCTTATAACTTTACCTACATATCTTTAGTGACTTATTGAGCTTGTTATGTAGAAATGGTCGTAAATATATCTAAAATCTGTTCACAAATGCGTGTTTGGTTTGAGGTTTAACACAAACTAAGTCCATTGTTTTGTTAAATTCGGTATGTTAAATATTCGTGGTACTTTTCTTCCAATATGTTATATATGTATATATATATATATATATATATATATATATATATATATATATATATATATATATATATATATATTATTTATATTTACGGACTCTAGCACAAAGTAAATTGATGTGCTTGAGGAAATTTAAATTTGTGTCAACTCACAGTGCACAAACTCTCGGCCGAACGTTCGGTAAAATTTTTACCGAACCAAATATTCGGCCGAACATTATTCGGCAGGATAACCTCGGGACCCAACTAATTTATGTCGAAACTTATTAACGTAAAGCGCGCGGGATTAGCGCCGGACGCTGCCTCTCGCTCCCTGCCACCCCTGACAGTTATTGCATCATCTAGTACTGAGCAAATTGCCGGTACATGCTTATGTTTTGACTATTCTTGTGATAAAAAAGTATTTCGTTGTGTTATTCTTAGTGAAAATTGATAGTTATAATATGATAAAAATGAGCGGCAGGAGATTTACTATTTGGACTTATTTTAGAGAAACTGACGACCAAAGTAAAGAAAATATACTAATGTAATGTAATGTTTCTTTGTTTGATTCCAAAAACATTTTATCAAGTTTCTATTTGCCATAATCGGAAATAAATCTACAGTGCCTCAAAAACATAAATGTATATAGATTTATGCATTTGAGGCACTCTAGAGTAAGTAGATTTTACCCATAAATAAAATAACCTTTCAACAGTAAAAGACATCGCATTAGTCAATTCGTACATTTCAATACATTGGACACTATAGAAACTAATATTCGGTAATTTAGCCGAATATTCGGCCGAATACGAATATTCGGTAAAGCTGCCGAATATGCCGAATACCGAATTTAAAACGAATATTCGGCCCATCTCTAATTATTAGTTTAAAATCGCATACCTGCATCAGTACCGATATGCACAGCAAGCTGATCTTCATACAATGGTGGGAATATACGTGCACTGGGTCTAGCCAAGACACCAATACGCGTGTCCAGTATCTCAACTTGAGAGTGCCGCTTGCCTTGTTCTTCAACTAGTGTTATTTTTGGGTCGGATATTCCCAAATTGTCCACCTGCAAATAGTATATTTCATTAAAATACAATCAATTAAAATTTTAATGAGGTTCTTAACTAAATTGCGTTAGATTGTACAAAAATCTACGTGAATAATATTAATTTGAACAAATTTATTAGTTTTCGATCGTTTTTATTTAAAAGACGTTGCTTATACACTAGGATTCTATAATGTCATCATAGAAGCATTTTATATATACATTTATTGCATATGGAAAAAAACTAGGCTAGAACATTGAAGTAATATGTACTTACGTACTAGAACGGCTATCTCAAACGAAAAATGTGCGCTACTCTGTGTTCGCGCGGTTGTTTTTTTTATCATAGAATAAATATAGGTAGGATCCGTAGGTAATAGTAGTTGTATTCTTAAATAGGTAAATTATATCGACAATAATATTTAAAAGTTGTCATTTTTTATGTATATAATATTTGCTTATTTAATATTACATAATATTATATCACAATTACATTTTAGTGATATTTTATCTGAATATTTTAAAAGGTATCTATGTCAAATATAAAAAAACATACTAAATGTATGTTTAACAAAACTTATTAACATAACACTTGAATTACAAATGTATTTATTTAAATTAGGATAAGAGTCGTACATAAATGCCAGGCACGCGAGATTTAAAAATGGACGAATTTATACCACTTTGACTTTGATGTGGAAACCTAAAAATAAAATAAAAGAACAATAAGCAAATTTAAACATGAAAAATTTTGCTTAATTATAATAACTTATATACGTTTCTACAAAAGAAAATGTTTATACTTAATATTTATCTTCAGTCTTATACTTAAGTACCTACAGAAATGTCGCATCTGAACATATTAATTTCATAATCTAAATTCCACGACACGAGATGGCGTCTTAGGAATAATTTATTAATCTATAATACTTTTTTATTGATTAAGTATCTTATTAACCGATGAAAAGTAATTCCTTGGTTTTTACCGACATTTCTTGAATTATTTGTGCAATATCTAAGTACACATAACGGCATATTTTTATCAAGAGATTTTTTTAAATCAACACAACACGTGACAACTCTACAAGCGCCTAGCGAGTGACTGATTAAAGTGCGGTGTATGCACCGCAGTTGAGTGGAACAGAGTAACTGAATGCAGTGTCGTCTCTAGTACGTAGTACATAATAGCTCAATGGGCTGGAACTATTTTTTGCGGACCGTACAAACTTTTGTTTCGTATGTAAACCACAGCCCCGCAGCTATATGCTTGGCCACATCGCTACTGAGCGTCATTATTTGTTAATTTTACCTTTTTTTATACAATAAGTTGTTGCCTATAGACATCTACAACTATCCTCGATTATGAATAGACCTGCAGATGCGTTACCACCCCCGAGGACTAAGATGGAATGCCTCGTTTTCGGTGAAAAAGGTCTCCGGTTTTCTACACTCACCATACGATACACCTCAGCATTAAGCTGCTATTTTACGCTGGTATTCTGTGAGAGTATGGTCTTACCCCGGTCGAATCAACCCACTTATACTACAAACATAATACAGCAGTAGCGTTTTTACCCCTCTTAATTATGGTATTATACTGGCGTCGTTCACTTTTTAAGAATTACAAACATTTATCATTATCGTCATCCTGGGCAATCCATTCCAGATTAATTTAGAATCTACCCTATTTATTTTGAAAGACATGTTTCAGTATCGGTTGGCGTATATTAATTAAATTATACCTGTATATCATATACAAGAGAGCCTTCTTTGTCGATATAAATCAGAGCAAGTCCTTCAGGAGCAGGTGATGCAGGTACTCTCTCTGCTATAAGAGAAGCGTGGTAAACTTCACATGCGGCTTTCTGGCGAACAGCACCTAGTATGCGCCGTTCAAATGTACCAACTTCTTCCAAGGATAACAAAAGTCTTCCGCGTGATAAGGATCTTAACTCCGCAGCAGATACCGGAGTAGAAACCTCTAAAACATTCATTTCATATCCTGGCTTCGAAATTTTCTGAACCTAAAACAAAAGGTTATATGTATAATGTAGTATACGAAGTTATTCAAAAGATACACATATTTAAATTTTCCTAGCTTAGTCAGATGCATCTTAATTTTTTTAAGAAATTAAGTAAACAGCATTTTCAAAAAAATTAGAATTTCATAAACTAATAAAGAATACCTAAACGCATCAAATAATAAAGATAGACTGTGAATGGCTTACCTCATCGATAATGGTCTGATTTTTCTCCGGTAGAGTCAGCAATATCCTTACAGACTGATCTCTCGCAGTTGGCGCGAAGATGCCGTTGTAAATAATGGCCAAATGCAAACTTGGTGCGGCACCGGCTGCACCAGTTACAATAGCCGTGCCTCCCCACCAGCCTTGCTCTTTTCCTGGCAATCGGTAATCATCACACGCCCCGTTGCCGATAGAAGTAGGCGGATTTTCTGGCTCCAGTAGAGAAGTAAACATTTCCGTAGACAGAGCAGGATACCTATAAAATTTATAGAAAAATAATTACTCGACACATACAATACAGTGTATACGTTCTACAAATGTTGCTTTAGATATTTAAAAAAAATTAACTACTTGAAGACTCTTTTTATTTAATGATTTCTTATATTTACACGAACACTAGACATTGATTAAAACTACTTTTACGGATTTTATCGCGTTTAATTTTAATTTTAATTATTTTTATTTTCAATTCCCGACGTTTCGAACGCTTTCCAGCACCCATGGTCACGAGGGACTGAGGTGACTGACGTCCCGATGTCATTGTTAAACCCGGAGTACCTTCAGCTTTTTTAATTATTGTTTATGGTCCGATCTATGCAACATGAACTGACTATGTCTTGAAGTCTTGTAGTGGTATGCTTGGGTTTAGTTTTAATTTTATTGATTATATATGTAGCTATATAGCTGATGTGAAGCATCAACGTTCCGGGAAGTCTGCAGTTTGTGATCATATCCTAGACGGCCCTAACCATTACATCAGATTTGATAGACTTCAAATGCTCGCGAAAGAAAACCGATGGGTGCTAGAAAGCAACCGAAACATCGGGAATTAAAAATAAAAATAATTAAAATTAAAATTAAACGCGATAAAATCCGTAAAAGTAGTTTTAATTGACTCATTTTATTGTTGTAGTCGAGTTCTAGTGTGCCAGAGCACCGTGTAATGGCAGAACAAGAGAATTTTTTACTCTATATCGTCAATTCGTCATAGCGCATTCAGACAAAATAAAATAGAGGGCACGCTGCAACGTAATATCGCTACAGCACGAATGATTCGTTGTGAAAAGGAAAGGACTACCCTCGTACAGAATACCAGCTTGTAATTGTACAATACTGCTTTTGTGTATCGTGTAACGAATTACAAGCAGCGAAGACCTTTTTTAATATCAACGAGGCATTTCATCTTAGTCCTCAGGGGTGGTAACGCATCTGCAGATCTATTCATAATCGAGGCGACAACGCATAGTCTGTGTTTTGATTTTCAGTCAAGAATAGATGTAGTAGGTATGGAGTGTAAAAGCAAGGAATACCAACTCCCATAGTAGAATAGTTGAAAAAGTGGCCATCTGTAAGCAGTAAATAACAGCTCAAAAACTCTCCACAACAGGGCTGGAGTAGCTACTGGGATGAAATGAACTTAGCAGTTGTCGACGGTTTAAGTGTGCTGCTAAACTGCTCAGTAGCTCTAAAATCTAAAATAATTTTATTTAGTAAAAAAGTCGTCCATTCCACCTGCGTTCTTTAAAGTATACCCCGTAGTTATAGTGCTACCCTTATTTAACGGTTTTCTATGGACAGTTTTTAATACACAGTCTGTACTCCTTAAGCTTCTCCACTCCATAGATGTAGGTTTATTTGTGTCACACTATCTGATGACTGAGTGATCATTTATCGCTCTACCTCTATATAAAAAATACAAAATACGAGTTTTTTCATCGTCATCATCATTACAGACTTCCACCGCTGAACATAGGCCTCCCCCAAGTTATGCCACAAAGCACGGTCCTGAGCCACGTGCATCCATCGACTTACTGCATATCTTACCTGGTCGTCACTCCATCTAGTGGAGGGTCGCCCTCACTTCGCCTACCGCTACGAGGCTATTTGTCCAGTAAATATATTATTGCCAAAATATTTTAAAATTTTATAACCTGGCTATTTTGTTTTTCTAGAATCTAAATTTAACATTAAATATACCTTTTAATTTACTGCACACAATTGGAATAAAAACAAACGAATTTAAATTGCAAAGGACAATTCTCAATTCAAATTAAGCAGTTTATACATATAATTTATCATTAAGAAGTACTTGGCATTTAATTTCTCAGAATCATTTATCAAATAAATCACCTCGAAAGATGCTTGTCGGAGACGTACATACCTATTAATGCGACCACTTAAAGCTTTATCCATGGAATTGTTACGCTCGTCGCCCCATATCAAGGCCACATATAGCGACCCATCTCTCAATAATCGCTTATACTCCCGCGGCACTCGACGCCAGACACCGCACAGCTGTAAATAACCGTCACTTGATAAATTATAAAAATGAATAAGCAGAACACCCGCATCATTAAGCCAATTGACATTTTAATTATGTTACTCTGAATGTACCTTATCAGTTTTTTCTTCATATGTAGCGTGTATCCCGGGATACCTTTTCAGAGGGTGCTCAAGTAACAACCTTCCGCCACGATCGAGGAACGAGAGAGCACGAGGCTGTGTCACAATCGAGGGGCCCATTAACACGGACCAATAAAGATGACGGCGACGAAATGTAAAGCGAGCAGTGGCAATTCCGGTTGCCACCGGCACACCCGTCATATCATCACGCCTTATACAAAGTGGTGACCGTCCAGTCAACAGAGCTCCAAAGTCTGCAACACAACATTACTATATGACTATCTATCAGTTAAACAAATATATTCACATTCATCCAAATAAACATTCTTACGTTTCATACTAAGCTCCTCCTCATCGCCAGCAGTAATAACGACTGTTGGGCTGTCCTCCTGCACAATATCAGGAGCTGCAATAAAACAATATTTATATTTAATACAAGGAAATGTAATAAATACCAAAACTATAGTCTATCAAAAGTACAAGCTCTGTGTGCCTATATGCAATGAACCAAAGGTAATAAATTAAGACTTGCATGTGTGCGTCGACGTCAAGTAGAAATATCTAAGTCGAAGGAATAAATAGAACAAGGCATAAGCAAATTCACATGTACATAAATAGGCATATCAACACTTTCTCCGCACTCCGCTGTATCTTATAAAAACATGTCGTTGGATCAATTGATGATATGACATTGGTCGAAGCGGTTCACAAGACCTCCCCGACCCCTCCGTTCGGGTTGATTGGATCAAGTGTTATTCGATCGTAACAGGATCGGCGTCTAGACGGCGTCGACAGAATTTGTGTTTTGCATAGCTTTCTTGTTGGATTTGTTCTCGACGAAAATAGAGAGAGCGGTGACATTTCACGCGGCACTTTCAAAGCGCCTTATCGCCTCTTGTTGACTATTATCCCTTTGCGCCATTATACTATAAATTATAAACTCAAACATTGCTTGCAAATGCACATTTATTTTTCATAGAATAAGGGTGACAAATCAGCACACAGTCCATCTGATAGTAAGTGGATGCTGTGGCACATAGACATCTACATTTAACGTCGATTTGGAATCAAAATGCAGATACCTTGTCACCCCTGAGGACTAAGATGGAATGCCTCGATTCCAGTAAAACGGGTCTCCGGATCTCAACACTCACCACATGAAACACAGCAGCATTAAGCTGCTATTTTACGGTGGTATTCTGTGAGAGCGTGGTCCTTCCCCGGTCAAGCCAACCCCTTCGTGCAACCATAATATAGCTGCAGCGTGGCTCTACCACTTGTAAAACATTCTTTATTAAAATACAGGAAGCCCGTCTTTAAAACCTCTTCCTGTTCTGTATATTGTACGAGGGGATATAATTAATGTAACCTTTCTAATAAAATTAACAAGATCTTGGTTTATCACAAAACTTTACAAACATTACTAACTTCGTAAGTTTCTTAGTAGCGTTAGCATTAGCACATAAATTTTAAAGGACATTTAATAGCTTCGTAAACAGTATGTCACGATCCTAACCTCAAATCATAAAATATTTAAATCGTGTGATTATATAAGCTTATCTACTGAACTATGACGTATTAAACAAACATCTATAGTAGCCTCAGTAAACTGTGTGATGAGCGGACCTGTTTACATTTAGTTGAGGAAGATTGTGATCTAGTGCGGCCCGGCGCCGACATTCATAATTCAATCTGTGAATTCATTTAATGCTTGAGACGGCCCTAAATTTATTGGCAAACGGCGCCAATGTGGCGACGAGTTGGTCCTAGGGTATTTGCAAATGAAATATATTGTGAAGTTCCAATAAATAGCCTGCAAACTTTGAGTTTTGGTTGAATACTCAAAGCCTGCAAACGACTAAAATATTTAATCCATTTTAATGGTAAAACTATGGTTATATAGAGATTAATCTATAAAAAATACTTTATAATAATACCTATGATACGATATCTAATGCGTTTTAACGTCATTAAAACGCATTAGATTTTTTGTGTATTCTGAAAAAATCGATGTTCAAGATATTTGAAGATAGCACTATAAACCGTTAGGAAAACAAAGGTTTATTTAACTTCATAGTTAGCTATATCCTCGTCCTATGTTTAGTAGAGATGGGCACGCGCTACGTTGGCGCCGAGGCACCTTTGACTCGACCGAGCTCAGCTCGGCGCGGGCACGGACCAAGTACACGAGTATGTGCGTACACACACAGATACATTTTTACGACGAAGTTAGTCCAACTCAAGACTCAAGGCTTTTCTTAGTAATCGACTTATTAAAGCTGTTTTAAATTTTTCGAAAGCAACGATAAACGAGATAAACTCGCAAACGTGATAAGACTAAATACGGACGACATAATTTTGAATCTAGTCTCGACCTAATATCTTTAGACCTCTCAAACGCAGTGAGTTTTCCAATCGTGTGATGTAACAAGGCGCCGATGTGACGACTACGTGTCCGATTGATACAGTGAATATACCGCGTACACAGCAGCAACATCAATAATTCATGTAAGCAATGTCTTGTAACAAAAACCTTACTATTTAAGAGCGTAACGGTTTCCGAGAAATATTTTTCCCGAGCATTTCAAGTGTGATTAAGGCACCTTATCGAGACTTCGTATGTAGGTGTGAAGTGGAAACGCATTTGACTACTATAGATTTTTGTATTATATTAGATTTTGTCTGTCACTAGGAGCCAGTTTAAAGTTAATGTCGCGTACATTTAACGGTCAACGAAACTTAAAGCGTCGTGGAACCGGAGCACGAAGCATCAAAACAAAAGTAACACGATAAGTGCCACCAGCACGAACACTTTGAAGTAACCACAAAGTTTCGTAGTTTATGGGAAAATTATTTGAATCCGACGAGCAATATACGATCCAAGACATCAAAGCAACATTTTATCGACATATCGGTGTATCAGATTCCAACAAACCACTGTGTTAAACCTATTTACAAAGTTTCGTAAATATTCATGACTTTTAAGGGAGCATTAGGTTAAACAGATAAGAATATTGCATAAACAAGTGCAATGGATAAGTAACGTAATAAAATTCCTATTTAATTAACATCGTAACATGTATGAAATATTCAGAGCAGGTATCAAGGTACTGACTTCACTTGCATTATCAAAAAAGAGTAGGAGAAAAACTCCATTTCCATATTCTATAATCATAAAATAAAGAGTAATAAATGAGAACATAATATCTGCCGGACAGGGCCACCTGTCAAGGTAGAAGGTCGGTTGTGCAGCGTCATGTCCAGTGCACCTGAGATTTAAAGTGAGATTGAGATGTACTATATGGGGAGATTACAATATATCTTCAGCACCTTCTTTTTTCCTTTCTTTTTTAATTAAAAAAATACTATGAATGCTATTAACATTATTAATTCCCTTTAACCACTTCTGGTAAACTTAAAATGCTTGTGTTAGGAGTGATTCATGACAGTAGTTGAATGGCAGATTAGGATATATATATATAGGATAGGGTGACAAACGAGCACACAGTCCGCCTGATGGTAAGTGGTTTCTGTGACTCATAGACATCTACATCTATCCTCGATTACGAACGATGCGATACGATTACGAAAATGCAGATGCGTTTCACCCGTGAGGAAGTCCTCAACTCAACAAAGTTCCAACTTAGATGGAATGCCTCATTGCCAGTAAAAAGGGTCTCCGGTTTTCTACACTCACCATACGAAACACAGCAGCATTAAGCTACTATTTGACACTGGTATTCTGTGTGAACGTGTTCCTTCGAGTCGAGCCGAACCATTCGTGTTACAACTATACTACTAATATAACTACAGCATGGCTCTACTACGTTAGATAGACGGATGGAATTACCCGGATGATAATGGAATTATATCGGAGCTTCTGAAAGCGGGTAGAAAACCGGTACTTGAAATCCTTCGTAAGCTCTTCAAATCTGTCCTGCATAATGCGTAGATCTTCAGGTGTAGAGCAGAAGTGCGGTGGTTTTGTTTTCCAAGAAAGGTGACAACGCCCTATTGAAGAACTACAGACCGACTTCTTTTCTAATCCACGTCTACTTGCTAGTTTCGATTTTCACTACGATTCGTCTCGCAAACAGACTTTATACTTCTTCCGAATTCCCCTACAAGCCGGTTTCCGCAAAAGACTTCAGTGCCAAAGACCACATATATATCCTTCTGCAAATTGTACACAATACCAAAGAATACAATCTGACACTTTGTCTTGTGTATCTGAACTATTAGAACGCCTATGATGTTTACCTATGACAAATTGTCCGACTAGGTAAGTCAAACTGCGACCTAGAGGTCAATCGATGATTCCATCTTGGCATTCAAAAGATTACTACAAATTTTCTCGTCATGTACTACTGAAAACTTGAAAAAAAAAGAGTGTATACGTGATGATCCTTTATAGCTCGAGGTTTAAGAATTTTAACTAAAGAAATTTGCTGTAGAAACTATTGATCACTTAGACTAACGGATCAGTAAGAGGAAGTGGCAATTGGCCCGCCATATATCTCAAAGAACTTCCAATCGATGGAGAACAAAAGTTCGCATCTACATTTAGGTTGTCACTCAATGATTTATGGTGTTTTTGGGTGGTGATATAAACAATGAACTGTGTTCTCTTTTGTCGCCTTCATTTCTATTTTTTTTTAATCGAAATTTCTTCTGTGTCTGCGTTTAACAAGTATAAACACAGATACAATATTATACTTGAATTTCCATACCGCAATACTCTAATCAATTAAAAATAGATCCTGCTTGAAGATCAAACCCATAACATCAGCAGTATCTGGTTTTCGATCTCTGTTTAGTTAAAACAAATTCAATTATGACCTAATTGCAATTGCGGCAGATAATGATCCGCGTAAATGGAAGCAGGAATAATTAGGAATAAATTTCCACTCTATCAACCTTATACCACGACTGTCAATGCTTATGTTAAACGAAGGTAATGCAACTAAGTTGCTAATGACGCTTTCTCGTGTTTTTACTTACAAATTATCCTCAATGCTAATTTTTCTCGACGAGATTAGAAAATTCTTACGGGACTATACTAATAAATCTTTTCCCGTCGTAATATTCATAGAATTTCTTTATGAATCACGAATTTATTTGAATGCAAAATGGAACGCGAACCCGACAATAAACATCGCGTTACATATTATGTATGTGTTAAAAAAAAAACAAAATTGAAACAATCTTAACGATGTTAATTTTAAGTGAACATTAAAATAATTTGTAATAAAATACTATACATAGGTATATAAAATCAATTAAAGTGACGGCGGCCGATAAACTATATCGTACTTTATTACTTATACGGCGTACGTGAATCCATTGCCCCAATTCGTCCCGTAGGTGACGTTAATGGCGACTATGGAGTATGCAAAAAAGATCTTA